TTTAAACAATATATTTGTTTCTGAATACAGGCTAAAGACCCAAAGAAAGGTGTATTTTGGAAGTTGCTGCTTGGTACCGTAACCTGCTTGTCCTTCGGTAAGTACTTTTTTTACTTAACATATCCGTAATATTTTGTTGAATATTGCAGAAACATAGCTGGCTTTCAAAATTTCCACAATAAAGCAAAATAAGGGCGAGGTGAAAAACCAAAGTTAGTCTGCAAGCACAGACTGTAATTTGACACTTTATCACATTTCCTAAATCCTTGGGCAGAGCGTAGATCTGCATGTTTCTGGCTGTGTCAAAAACAAGCAGCTTAAGTATACACAGCCGCTATTGTATAGTCACATTTTGCAGACACTATTGCACAACCATTGACAAGGATTTGTGCCCTCAAACTTGACCTAATAAACATTGCATCTCAACAAAACAAAAAACATTTAAAAAAAAAATCTCTCTAATATATTTTAAGAAAACCTGCATCCTCAAGATTGAGAAGAGGGTGGCAGGCAAGGATGAAAAGGACAAGGAGGAGGTAGGGGAGGGTAGGAGAGGATGATTAGGCTCGAGGAGTGCTATCTCAGGATGAGTAGGACAGGAGGAATTGTGGATGAGGGGAAGGAGGGAAGGAGGGAAGGAGGAAGGGGAGTAGGAGGAGGGGGTGGAGAGAAGTACCAGGCGGGTAGGAGGAGGAGGAGGATGTGGAGGAGGAGGAGGAAGAGGAAGGGGGAGGTAGAGAAGGACATGAATAAGGAGGGATGTGAGGCAGGAGGAGAAGAGGCATATGAGGAGGAAGAAAACAACTAGCAATTAATTTTCTAATGTTTTCTTCACAGCCTTGCCTGTGTTATCGGATAGGTCATCTTGTCCAGACTGGTACGGCCTAAATTACACTTTGCCCATGTTCCAAAAGTGTAAGATGAAGCGACTCCAGGATGGCAGCATGGTGCAGAGCATCCCCAAACTCATCCCTTTCCCTTCTGTCATCGGCGGGTGCCACCAAAGGAAGAGTAAAGAAGGGATCCCGGGCGGGCATAGAATTTGCAGAATCCCGTGTAGGTCTCATTTTTTAATATTTTTTGTTCTCATAGGTCAAATTCATTTCTTTTGTTTAGTCAATATATCTACATGCAGATAACACGGACTTCAGTGATATCATTAAAGTTTGATATCAACTCCTAACTTCTTCTTCTACAACTACTACTACTACTACTACTACTACTACTACTACTACTACTACTACTACTACTACTGCTGCTGCTGCTGGTACTACTACTACTACGCCTCCTAATAGTTCTACTACTCCTACTAATTCTACTACTACTACTACTACTACTACTACTACTACTTCTACTACTACTACTACTACTACTACTACTGCTGCTGCTGGTACTACTACTACTACGCCTCCTAATATTTCTACTACTCCTACTAATTCTACTACTACTACTACTACTACTACTACTACTACTACTACTACTACTACTACTGCTGCTACTACTACTACTCTACTACTACTACTACTACTACTACTACTACTACTACTACTACCACCACCGCCACTACTCCCACCACTACTACTACTACTACTACTACTACTACTAATATTTCTATTACCATCGCGACGATGACTACTTCTACTACTACTTCTACTACTACTACTACTAGTACTACTACTACTACTACTACTACTACTACTACTACTACTACTACTACTAGTACTACTACTACTACTACTACTACTACTACTACTACTACTACTACTACTACTACTACTACTAACAATACTACTACTACTACTACTACTACTACTACTACTACTACTACTACTACTACTACTACTACTACTCCTACTAATACTACAACTACTACTACTACTACTACTACTACTACTACTACTACTACTAATACTACTACTACTACTACTACCACCACTACTCCCACCACTACTACTACTACTACTACTACTAATATTTCTATTACTATCGCGACGATGACTACTTCTACTACTACTGACTACTTCTTCTTCTACTACTACTACTACTACTACTACTACTACTACAACTACTACTGCAACTTCTGTTACTACCTCTACCCCCACTACTACTATCGCGACGATGACTACTTCTACTATTACTACTACTACTACTACTACTACTACTTCTACTACTACTACTACTACTACTACTACTACTTTTAGTTCTGTTTTAACTCAATCGAATGTCGAAGATATTTCAGGGTACAACAACTTTTCTCGACGCAGCGACATTGCTATCCTAATTTTGTAAACCTATTTAGATTGTGAAAATGAATCGTTCCAGCCGATGGTGTATAATTTCACTGGTTGGTATTTCGTTTGATAACGGTGGAAGGACTGACGAGTGAACTTTATTGGATTCGTCGATATATTGCTATCGCTATGAGTCCAATATTGTAATAGCGAGAGCAATATATTCTTGTATCACACGAAAACAAAGCCATACAATAGTAATACTATTTTCTGTCATATATTGGTATGTCATCCGGGCACTACGCTAAAGATATTAAATACTTAGATTTTTTGTTCCACTTGGAAGCCTTATATATATAATAATGAGTTTTATCCCGTTTATTTCTTATTTCACAGATTGTAACGAAGACCTCTGTAACAACGGCTGGTGTGAGGAGACTATGGTAGGCTACAACTGTACCTGCTCAAGTGGGTTTCAAGGGAGACACTGCGATGAAAGTAGGTGTAATATAATAGGCGTATCGGGCAAATTAATGAGCAATTAATGAGTGGCCAATTCATGTGCAAAGAGCAGGAACAGACTTTCTATAGGGTGTAAACAAAATGTTTGCAGTTATTATTTTTTTTACTTGTACGCACTTTTTTCAAACATTGTACCTACATTCTGCACTACACATAACCAGTACGACAAAACATGAGGGCGGCCGGTAGTGCAACTGAAGAAAAAGAAGAAGAAGAAGAAGAAGAAAAAACAAAAAGAGATGATGATGATGATTAAAAAGAAAGTACCACGCGGTCCTCTTTTCGAACTTTTTGATAGAATTGAGATTCCCAAAATATTTCTGATATCTATTTTTGCATTCCCCCCCCCCCCCCCTCTTGATCCTATCCCCGTAGCCTGACTAGGAGCACCTAGAGACAGCCGGTGGGGAAATAATTTAAATGAAAATAATGTTATGCATCGTTATTTCACTCAGTTAAGTTTGTAATTGTTTGTTGTTGTTAATTTCAGTGATCATCGAGTCAACGACTGAACTGACGACCAAGCCTACGACGACCCCTACGACTACCACTTCGGAACGCTCAGACACAACGACTTCCCAAAACACCACTTCATCTAGTATGTCTACGTCATGCATTAATATTGATCATGATCATAATGGCCCGAATTCACAAAGGAGGTTTATCGACAAACCTCTTTTGTGAATTCGGGCAAAATATCTAGCCACTATACCACCCCCCCCCCCCCCCCCCCTATCTCTCTCTCTCTCTCTCTCTCTCTCTCTCTCTCTCTCTCTCTCTTTCTCCCACTCTCTCGGTCTATATCTGACTCTAATGTTCAGTTCTATCCAGGCGTCGCTAAACAAAAAAAATAAGGGGGAAGTGACCGTCTAATTCTTATTTGTGAAAGTTTTATTTTTCTTTGTCATTCTTTCATAAGCGTCGCTTAAACACTTTGAGGGGGCAGCTAGTGACCGTCATTAAATTCACATTTTGTCTATAAGTTTAACGACAACGTTTTGTTGTTGTTGTTGTTCTTTGTCTTCTTCTTCTTCCCCCTTCGCATTTCTTTGTCTCTCTCTGTCTGTTCCCTCTCAATACTTGACTCCGGCTCCTTTTCCTCCCCACTCATTTTTTAAATTTGTTTTATTCCATTTAGAGTCGGTGACAACAGAAGCGAAAACCAATTCCGAGCCGAGCCCTACGGCCAAGATGACGAAACGATCAGACGCAACGACATCGCAAGAAACCACCACCTCCAGTAAGAGAAACATTGAAACGACGTTTTGTAATTATTATCACAGGGGGTCTAGCCACTATAGCCCTCATTCCTTCTCTCTCTCTCTCTCTCTCTCTCTTTCTCTCTCTCTTTCTCCCACTCTCTCGGTCTATATCTGACTATACTGTTCAGTTCTATCCGGGCATCGGCTAAAATACTTTTTAAGGGGAAAGTGACCGTCTAATGCTTATTAGTTATAGTCTTATTTTTCTTTGCCATTCTTTCTTAAGCGTCGTTAAAACACTTTAAAAGGGGTCCCCTAGTGCCCCTCATTTTTTTTTAATTCACATGTTGTGTATAAGTTTAACGTTGTTGTTGTTGTTGTTGCTGTTCTCCTTCTTCTTCTTGTTCCCTCTTCGCATGTTCTTTGTCTCTCTCTGTCTGTTCCCTTATCAATACTTGACTCCGGCTCCTTTTCCTCCCCACTCATTTTTTTAATATTTTTTTTATTGCGTTCAGAGTCGATGACAACAGAAGCGAAAACCAAGTCTGAGCCAAGCCCTACTGCCACGATGCCGAAACGATCAGACGCAACGACATCGCAAGAAACCACCACCTCAAGTAAGAGAAACATTGAAACGACGTCATGTAATTATTATCACAATGGGTCTAGCCACTGTAGCCCTCTTTCCTTCTCCCTCTCTCTCTCTCTTTCTCTCTCTCTCTCTCTCTCTCTCTCTCTCTCTCTCTCTCGTTCTCCCTCTCTCTCTCTCTCTTAGTCTATATCTGACTCTAATGTTCAGTTCTATCCGAGCGTCGCTAAAACACTTTTTTTAGGGGGAAGTGACCGTCTAATCCTTATTTGTTGTAGTTGTTGTTGTTGTTACTGTTCTGCTGCATGTTCTTTGTCTCTCTCTGTCTGTTCCCTTATCAATACTTGACTCCGGCTCCTTTTCCTCCCCACTCATTTTTTGATATTTTTTTTATTCCGTTCAGAGTCGGTGACAACAAAAGCAAAAACCAAGTCTGAGCCAAGCCCTACTGCCACGATGCCGAAACGATCAGACGCAACGACATCGCAAGAAACCACCACCTCAAGTAAGAGAAACATTGAAACGACGTCATGTAATTATTATCACAATGGGTCTAGCCACTGTAGCCCTCTTTCCTTCTCCCTCTCTCTCTCTCTTTCTCTCTCTCTCTCTCTCTCTCTCTCTCTCTCGTTCTCCCTCTCTCTCTCTCTTAGTCTATATCTGACTCAAATGTTCAGTTCTATCCGAGCGTCGCTAAAACACTTTTTTTAGGGGGAAGTGACCGTCTAATTCTTATTTGTTGTAGTTGTTGTTGTTGTTACTGTTCTGCTGCATGTTCTTTGTCTCTCTCTGTCTGTTCCCCTCTCAATACTTGACTCCGGCTTCTTTTCCTCCCCACTCATTTTTTTGATACTTTTTCATTCCGTTCAGAGTCGATGACAACAGAAGCGAAAACCAAGTCTAAGCCAAGCCCTACTGCCACGATGCCGAAACGATCAGACGCAACGACATCGCAAGAAACCACCACCTCCAGTAAGAGAAACATTGAAACGACGTTTTGTAATTATTATCACAATGGGTCTAGCCACTATAGCCCTCATTCCTTCTCTCTCTCTCTCTCTCTCTCTCTCTCTCTCTCTTTCTCCCACTCTCTCGGTCTATATCTGACTATACTGTTCAGTTCTATCCGGGCATCGGCTAAAACACTTTTTAAGGGGAAAGTGACCGTCTAATTCTTATTAGTTATAGTCTTATTTTTCTTTGCCATTCTTTCTTAAGCGCCGCTAATACACTTTATAAGGGGTCACCTAGTGCCCCTCATTTTTTTAATTCTCATGTTGTGTATAAGTTTAACGACAACTTTATTGTTGTAGTTGTTGTTGTTGTTACTGTTCTGCTGCATGTTCTTTGTCTCTCTCTGTCTGTTCCCCTCTCAATACTTGACTCCGGCTTCTTTTCCTCCCCACTCATTTTTTTAATACTTTTTCATTCCGTTCAGAGTCGATGACAACAGAAGCGAAAACCAAGTCTGAGCCAAGCCCTACTGCCACGATGCCGAAACGATCAGACGCAACGACATCGCAAGAAACCACCACCTCCAGTAAGAGAAACATTGAAACGACGTTTTGTAATTATTATCACAATGGGTCTAGCCACTATAGCCCTCCTTCCTTCTCTCTCTCTCTCTCTCTCTCTCTCTCTCTCTCTTTCTCCCACTCTCTCGGTCTATATCTGACTATACTGTTCAGTTCTATCCGGGCATCGGCTAAAACACTTTTTAAGGGGGAAGTGACCGTCTAATTCTTATTAGTTATAGTCTTATTTTTCTTTGCCATTCGTTCTTAAGCGTCGCTAAAACACTTTATAAGGGGTCACCTAGTGCCCCTCATTTTTTTTAAATCACATTTTGTGTATAAGTTGTTGCTGTTCTTCTTCTTCTTCTCCCCTCTTCGCATGTTCTTTGTCTCTGTCTGTCTGTTCTCCTATCAATACTTGACTCCGGCTCCTTTTCCTCCCCACTCATTTTTTTATAACTTTTTCATTCCGTTCAGAGTCGATGACAACAGAAGCGAAAACCAAGTCCAAGCCGAGCCCTACGGCCACGATGCCGAAACGATCAGACGCAACGACATCGCAAGAAACCACCACCTCAAGTAAGAGAAACATTGAAACGACGTCATGTAATTATTATCACTATGGGTCTAGCCACTGTAGCCCTCTTTCCTTCTCCCTCTCTCTCTCTCTTTTTTTCTCTCTCTCTCTCTCTCTCTCTTTCTCCCTCTCTCTCTCTCTCTCAGTCTATATCTGACTCTAATGTTCAGTTCTATCCGAGCGTCGCTAAAACACTTTTTTTAGGGGGAAGTGACCGTCTAATTCTTATTTGTTGTAGTTGTTGTTGTTGTTACTGTTCTGCTGCATGTTCTTTGTCTCTCTCTGTCTGTTCCCCTCTCAATACTTGACTCCGGCTTCTTTTCCTCCCCACTCATTTTTTTAATACTTTTTCATTCCGTTCAGAGTCGATGACAACAGAAGCGAAAACCAAGTCTGAGCCAAGCCCTACTGCCACGATGCCGAAACGATCAGACGCAACGACATCGCAAGAAACCACCACCTCCAGTAAGAGAAACATTGAAACGACGTTTTGTAATTATTATCACAATGGGTCTAGCCACTATAGCCCTCCTTCCTTCTCTCTCTCTCTCTCTCTCTCTCTCTTTCTCCCACTCTCTCGGTCTATATCTGACTATACTGTTCAGTTCTATCCGGGCATCGGCTAAAACACTTTTTAAGGGGAAAATGACCGTCTAATTCTTATTAGTTATAGTCTTATTTTTCTTTGCCATTCTTTCTTAAGCGTCGCTAAAACACTTCATAAGGGGTCACATAGTGCCCCTCATTTTTTTAATTCTCATGTTGTGTATAAGTTTAACGACAACTTTATTGTTGTAGTTGTTGTTGTTGTTACTGTTCTGCTGCATGTTCTTTGTCTCTCTCTGTCTGTTCCCTTATCAATACTTGACTCCGGCTTCTTTTCCTCCCCACTCATTTTTTAATATTTTTTTATTGCGTTCAGAGTCGGTGACAACAGAAGCAAAAACCAAGTCTGAGCCAAGCCCTACTGCCACGATGCCGAAACGATCAGACGCAACGACATCGCAAGAAACCACCACCTCCAGTAAGACAAACATTGAAACGACGTCATGTAATTATTATCACAATGGGTCTAGCCACTATAGCCCTCCTTCCTTCTCTCTCTCTCTCTCTCTCTCTCTCTCTTTCTCCCACTCTTTCGGTCTATATCTGACTATACTGTTCAGTTCTATCCGGGCATCGGCTAAAACACTTTTTAAGGGGGAAGTGACCGTCTAATTCTTATTAGTTATAGTCTTATTTTTCTTTGCCATTCGTTCTTAAGCGTCGCTAAAACACTTTATAAGGGGTCACCTAGTGCCCCTCATTTTTTTTAAATCACATTTTGTGTATAAGTTGTTGCTGTTCTTCTTCTTCTTCTTCTCCCCTCTTCGCATGTTCTTTGTATCTGTCTGTCTGTTCTCCTATCAATACTTGACTCCGGCTCCTTTTCCTCCCCACTCATTTTTTTATAACTTTTTCATTCCGTTCAGAGTCGATGACAACAGAAGCGAAAACCAAGTCCAAGCCGAGCCCTACGGCCACGATGCCGAAACGATCAGACGCAACGACATCGCAAGAAACCACCACCTCAAGTAAGAGAAACATTGAAACGACGTCATGTAATTATTATCACAATGGGTCTAGCCACTGTAGCCCTCTTTCCTTCTCCCTCTCTCTCTCTCTTTTTCTCTCTCTCTCTCTCTCTCTCTTTCTCCCTCTCTCTCTCTCTCTTAGTCTATATCTGACTCTAATGTTCAGTTCTATCCGAGCGTCGCTAAAACACTTTTTTTAGGGGGAAGTGACCGTCTAATTCTTATTTGTTGTAGTTGTTGTTGTTGTTACTGTTCTGCTGCATGTTCTTTGTCTCTCTCTGTCTGTTCCCCTCTCAATACTTGACTCCGGCTTCTTTTCCTCCCCACTCATTTTTTTAATACTTTTTCATTCCGTTCAGAGTCGATGACAACAGAAGCGAAAACCAAGTCTAAGCCAAGCCCTACTGCCACGATGCCGAAACGATCAGACGCAACGACATCGCAAGAAACCACCACCTCCAGTAAGAGAAACATTGAAACGACGTTTTGTAATTATTATCACAATGGGTCTAGCCACTATAGCCCTCCTTCCTTCTCTCTCTCTCTCTCTCTCTCTCTCTTTCTCCCACTCTCTCGGTCTATATCTGACTATACTGTTCAGTTCTATCCGGGCATCGGCTAAAACACTTTTTAAGGGGGAAGTGACCGTCTAATTCTAATTAGTTATAGTCTTATTTTTCTTTGCCATTCGCTCTTAAGCGTCGCTAAAACACTTTATAAGGGGTCACCTAGTGCCCCTCATTTTTTTTAAATCACATTTTGTGTATAAGTTGTTGCTGTTCTTCTTCTTCTTCTCCCCTCTTCGCATGTTCTTTGTCTCTGTCTGTCTGTTCTCCTATCAATACTTGACTCCGGCTCCTTTTCCTTCCCACTCATTTTTTTATAACTTTTTCATTCCGTTCAGAGTCGATGACAACAGAAGCGAAAACCAAGTCCAAGCCGAGCCCTACGGCCACGATGCCGAAACGATCAGACGCAACGACATCGCAAGAAACCACCACCTCAAGTAAGAGAAACATTGAAACGACGTCATGTAATTATTATCACAATGGGTCTAGCCACTGTAGCCCTCTTTCCTTCTCCCTCTCTCTCTCTCTTTTTCTCTCTCTCTCTCTCTCTCTTTCTCCCTCTCTCTCTCTCTCTTAGTCTATATCTGACTCTAATGTTCAGTTCTATCCGAGCGTCGCTAAAACACTTTTTTTAGGGGGAAGTGACCGTCTAATTCTTATTTGTTGTAGTTGTTGTTGTTGTTACTGTTCTGCTGCATGTTCTTTGTCTCTCTCTGTCTGTTCCCCTCTCAATACTTGACTCCGGCTTCTTTTCCTCCCCACTCATTTTTTTAATACTTTTTCATTCCGTTCAGAGTCGATGACAACAGAAGCGAAAACCAAGTCTGAGCCAAGCCCTACTGCCACGATGCCGAAACGATCAGACGCAACGACATCGCAAGAAACCACCACCTCCAGTAAGAGAAACATTGAAACGACGTTTTGTAATTATTATCACAATGGGTCTAGCCACTAAAGCCCTCCTTCCTTCTCTCTCTCTCTCTCTCTCTCTCTCTTTCTCCCACTCTCTCGGTCTATATCTGACTATACTGTTCAGTTCTATCCGGGCATCGGCTAAAACACTTTTTAAGGGGAAAGTGACCGTCTAATTCTTATTAGTTATAGTCTTATTTTTCTTTGCCATTCTTTCTTAAGCGTCGCTAAAACACTTCATAAGGGGTCACCTAGTGCCCCTCATTTTTTAATTCTCATGTTGTGTATAAGTTTAACGACAACTTTATTGTTGTAGTTGTTGTTGTTGTTACTGTTCTGCTGCATGTTCTTTGTCTCTCTCTGTCTGTTCCCCTCTCAATACTTGACTCCGGCTTCTTTTCCTCCCCACTCATTTTTTTAATACTTTTTCATTCCGTTCAGAGTTGATGACAACAGAAGCGAAAACCAAGTCTGAGCCAAGCCCTACTGCCACGATGCCTAAACGATCAGACGCAACGACATCGCAAGAAACCACCACCTCAAGTAAGAGAAACATTGAAACGACGTTATGTAATTATTATCACAAAGGGTCTAGCCACTATAGCCCTCCTTCCTTCTCTCTCTCTCTCTCTCTCTCTCTCTCTCTCTCTCTCTTTCTCCCACTCTCTCGGTCTATATCTGACTATACTGTTCAGTTCTATCCGGGCATCGGCTACAACACTTTTTAAGGGGGAAGTGACCGTCTAATTCTTATTAGTTATAGTCTTATTTTTCTTTGTCATTCTTTCTTAAGCGTCGCTTAAGTACTTTATAAGGGGTCACCTAGTGCCCCTCATTTTTTTAATTCACATGTTGTGTATAAGTTTAACGACAACTTTATTGTTGTAGTTGTTGTTGTTGTTACTGTTCTGCTGCATGTTCTTTGTCTCTCTCTGTCTGTTCCCTTATCAATACTTGACTCCGGCTCCTTTTCCTCCCCACTAATTTTTTTATATTATTTTTATTGCGTTCAGAGTCGGTGACAACAGAAGCAAAAACCAAGTCTGAGCCAAGCCCTACTGCCACGATGCCGAAACGATCAGACGCAACGACATCGCAAGAAACCACCACCTCCAGTAAGAGAAACATTGAAACGACGTCATGTAATTATTATCACAATGGGTTTAGCCACTGTAGCCCTGTTTCCTTCTCCCTCTCTCTCTCTCTCTCTCTCTTTCTCCCTCTCTCTCTCTCTCTTAGTCTATATCTGACTCTAATGTTCAGTTCTATCCGAGCGTCGCTAAAACACTTTTTTAGGGGGAAGTGACCGTCTAATTCTTATTTGTTGTAGTTGTTGTTGTTGTTACTGTTCTGCTGCATGTTCTTTGTCTCTCTCTGTCTGTTCCCTTATCAATACTTGACTCCGGCTCCTTTTCCTCCCCACTCATTTTTTTATATTTTTTTTTATTGCGAACAGAGTCGGTGACAACAGAAGCAAAAACCAAGTCTGAGCCAAGCCCTACTGCCACGATGCCGAAACGATCAGACGCAACGACATCGCAAGAAACCACCACCTCCAGTAAGAGAAACATTGAAACGACGTCATGTAATTATTATCACAATGGGTTTAGCCACTGTAGCCCTGTTTCCTTCTCCCTCTCTCTCTCTCTCTTTCTCCCTCTCTCTCTCTCTTAGTCTATATCTGACTCTAATGTTCAGTTCTATCCGAGCGTCGCTAAAACACTTTTTTAGGGGGAAGTGACCGTCTAATTCTTATTTGTTGTAGTTGTTGTTGTTGTTACTGTTCTGCGGCATGTTCTTTGTCTCTCTCTGTCTGTTCCCCTCTCAATACTTGACTCCGGCTTCTTTTCCTCCCTACTCATTTTTTTAATACTTTTTCATTCCGTTCAGAGTCGATGACAACAGAAGCGAAAACCAAGTCTGAGCCAAGCCCTACTGCCACGATGCCGAAACGATCAGACGCAACGACATCGCAAGAAACCACCACCTCCAGTAAGAGAAACATTGAAACGACGTCATGTAATTATTATCACAATGGGTTTAGCCACTGTAGCCCTGTTTCCTTCTCCCTCTCTCTCTCTCTCTCTCTTTCTTTCCCTCTCTCTCTCTCTTAGTCTATATCTGACTCTAATGTTCAGTTCTATCCGAGCGTCGCTAAAACACTTTTTTAGGGGGAAGTGACCGTCTAATTCTTATTTGTTGTAGTTGTTGTTGTTGTTACTGTTCTGCTGCATGTTCTTTGTCTCTCTCTGTCTGTTCCCTTATCAATACTTGACTCCGGCTCCTTTTCCTCCCCACTCATTTTTTTATATTTTTTTTATTGCGAACAGAGTCGGTGACAACAGAAGCAAAAACCAAGTCTGAGCCAAGCCCTACTGCCACGATGCCGAAACGATCAGACGCAACGACATCGCAAGAAACCACCACCTCCAGTAAGAGAAACATTGAAACGACGTCATGTAATTATTATCACAATGGGTTTAGCCACTGTAGCCCTGTTTCCTTCTCCCTCTCTCTCTCTCTCTCTCTTTCTCCCTCTCTCTCTCTCTTAGTCTATATCTGACTCTAATGTTCAGTTCTATCCGAGCGTCGCTAAAACACTTTTTTAGGGGGAAGTGACCGTCTAATTCTTATTTGTTGTAGTTGTTGTTGTTGTTACTGTTCTGCGGCATGTTCTTTGTCTCTCTCTGTCTGTTCCCCTCTCAATACTTGACTCCGGCTTCTTTTCCTCCCTACTCATTTTTTTAATACTTTTTCATTCCGTTCAGAGTCGATGACAACAGAAGCGAAAACCAAGTCTGAGCCAAGCCCTACTGCCACGATGCCTAAACGATCAGACGCAACGACATCGCAAGAAACCACCACCTCCAGTAAGAGAAACATTGAAACGACGTTATGTAATTATTATCACAATGGGTGTAGCCACTTTAGCCCTCCTTCCTTCTCTCTCTCTCTCTCTCGCTTTCTCCCACTCTCTCGGTCTATATCTGACTATACTGTTCAGTTCTATCCGGGCATCGGCTACAACACTTTTTAAGGGGGAAGTGACCGTCTAATTCTTATTAGTTATAGTCTTATTTTTCTTTGTCATTCTTTCTTAAGCGTCGCTTAAGTACTTTATAAGGGTCACCTAGTGCCCCTCATTTTTTTAATTCACATGTTGTGTATAAGTTTAACGACAACTTTATTGTTGTAGTTGTTGTTGTTGTTACTGTTCTGCTGCATGTTCTTTGTCTCTCTCTGTCTGTTCCCTTATCAATACTTGACTCCGGCTCCTTTTCCTCCCCACTAATTTTTTTATATTCTTTTTATTGCGTTCAGAGTCGGTGACAACAAAAGCAAAAACCAAGTCTGAGCCAAGCCCTACTGCCACGATGCCGAAACGATCAGACGCAACGACATCGCAAGAAACCACCACCTCCAGTAAGAGAAACATTGAAACGACGTCATGTAATTATTATCACAATGGGTTTAGCCACTGTAGCCCTGTTTCCTTCTCCCTCTCTCTCTCTCTCTCTTTCTCCCTCTCTCTCTCTCTCTTAGTCTATATCTGACTCTAATGTTCAGTTCTATCCGAGCGTCGCTAAAACACTTTTTTAGGGGGAAGTGACCGTCTAATTTTTATTTGTTGTAGTTGTTGTTGTTGTTACTGTTCTGCTGCATGTTCTTTGTCTCTCTCTGTCTGTTCCCTTATCAATACTTGACTCCGGCTCCTTTTCCTCCCCACTCATTTTTTTATATTTTTTTTTATTGCGAACAGAGTCGGTGACAACAGAAGCAAAAACCAAGTCTGAGCCAAGCCCTACTGCCACGATGCCGAAACGATCAGACGCAACGACATCGCAAGAAACCACCACCTCCAGTAAGAGAAACATTGAAACGACGTCATGTAATTATTATCACAATGGGTTTAGCCACTGTAGCCCTGTTTCCTTCTCCCTCTCTCTCTCTCTCTTTCTCCCTCTCTCTCTCTCTTAGTCTATATCTGACTCTAATGTTCAGTTCTATCCGAGCGTCGCTAAAACACTTTTTTAGGGGGAAGTGACCGTCTAATTCTTATTTGTTGTAGTTGTTGTTGTTGTTACTGTTCTGCGGCATGTTCTTTGTCTCTCTCTGTCTGTTCCCCTCTCAATACTTGACTCCGGCTTCTTTTCCTCCCTACTCATTTTTTTAATACTTTTTCATTCCGTTCAGAGTCGATGACAACAGAAGCGAAAACCAAGTCTGAGCCAAGCCCTACTGCCACGATGCCGAAACGATCAGACGCAACGACATCGCAAGAAACCACCACCTCCAGTAAGAGAAACATTGAAACGACGTCATGTAATTATTATCACAATGGGTTTAGCCACTGTAGCCCTGTTTCCTTCTCCCTCTCTCTCTCTCTCTCTTTCTCCCTCTCTCTCTCTCTCTCTTAGTCTATATCTGACTCTAATGTTCAGTTCTATCCGAGCGTCGCTAAAACACTTTTTTAGGGGGAAGTGACCGTCTAATTCTTATTTGTTGTAGTTGTTGTTGTTGTTACTGTTCTGCTGCATGTTCTTTGTCTCTCTCTGTCTGTTCCCTTATCAATACTTGACTCCGGCTCCTTTTCCTCCCCACTCATTTTTTTAATACTTTTTCATTCCGTTCAGAGTCGATGACAACAGAAGCGAAAACCAAGTCTGAGCCAAGCCCTACTGCCACGATGCCGAAACGATCAGACGCAACGACATCGCAAGAAACCACCACCTCCAGTAAGAGAAACATTGAAACGACGTTATGTAATTATTATCACAATGGGTGTAGCCACTTTAGCCCTCCTTCCTTCTCTCTCTCTCTCTCTCTCTCGCTTTCTCCCACTCTCTCAGTCTATATCTGACTATACTGTTCAGTTCTATCCGGGCATCGGCTAAAACACTTTTTAAGGGGGAAGTGACCGTCTTATTCTTATTAGTTATAGTCTTATTTTTCTTTGCCATTCTTTCTTAAGCGTCGCTTAAGTACTTTATAAGGGGTCACCTAGTGCCCCTCATTTTTTTAATTCACATGTTGTGTATAAGTTGAACGACAACTTTATTGTTGTAGTTGTTGTTGTTGTTACTGTTCTGCTGCATGTTCTTTGTCTCTCTCTGTCTGTTCCCCTCTCAATACTTGACTCCGGCTTCTTTTCCTCCCCACTCATTTTTTTAATACTTATTTTTTCATTCCGTTCAGAGTCGATGACAACAGAAGCGAAAACCAAGTCCGAGCCAAGCCCTACTGCCACGATGCCGAAACGATCAGACGCAACGACATCGCAAAAAGCCACCACCTCCAGTAAGAGAAACATTGAAAAGACGTCATGTAATTATTATCACAATGGGTCTAGCCACTATAGCCCTCCTTCCTTCTCTCTCTCTCTCTCTCTCTCTCTCTCTCTCTCTTTTTCTCCCACTCTCTCGGTCTATATCTGACTATACTGTTCAGAGAGGGCTATAGTGGCTAGACTCATGGTGATAATAATTACATGACGTCGTTTCAATGTTTCGCTTACTAGAGGTGGTGGTTTCTTGCGATGTCGTTGCGTCTGATGGTTCCGGCAATATGGCCGTAGGGCTTGGTTCGGACTTGGTTTTTGCTTCTGTTGTAATCGACTCTGAACGCAATAAAAAAAAAAATTAAAAAATGAGTGGGGAGGAAAAGCAGCCGGAGTCAAGTATTGATAAGGGAACAGACAGAGAGAGACAAAGAACATGCGAAGAGGGGAGAAGAAGAAGAAGAACAGCAAAAACCACAACAACAACGTTGTTGTTAAACGTATACACAACATGTGAATTAAAACAATGAGGGGCACGAGGTGACCCCTTATAAAGTGTTTTAGCGACGCTTAAGAAAGAATGACAAAGAAAAATAAGACTATAACTAATAAGAATTAGACGGTCACTTTCCCCTTAAAAGTGTTTTAGCCGATGCCCGGATAGAACTGAACACTTTAGTTAGATATAGACCGAGAGAGAGGGAGAAAGAGAGACAGAGAGACAGAGAGAAGGAAGGAGGGCTATAGTGGCTAGACCCATTGTGATAATAATTACATGACGTCGTTTCAATGTTTCGCTTACTGGAGGTGGTGGCTTTTTGCGATGTCGTTGCGTCTGATCGTTTCGGCATCGTGGCAGTAGGGCTTGGCTCAGACTTGGTTTTCGCTTCTGTTGTCATCGACTCTGAACGGAATGAAAAAAAAATTAAAAAATGAGTGGGGAGGAAAAGAAGCCGGAGTCAAGTATTGAGAGGGGAACAGACAGAGAGAGACAAAGAACATGCAGCAGAACAGTAACAACAACAACAACTACAACAATAAATTTGTCGTTAAACTTATACACAACATGTGAATTAAAAAAAATGAGGGGCACTAGGTGACCCCTTATAAAGTGTTATAAATGTTCAGCTCTATCCGGGCGTCGCTAAAACACTTTTTAAGGGGGCAGTGACGCAGTGGCGGATCCAGCCAGCGGGAAGAGGGGGGGGCCCAATCCGTTAGAAAATATTAATTGCGACTCAGCCACCGGTGAATAAGCGGGGGGTGAGGGGTATAGGAGGCACTTTTTTGTCCAATTTTCAGGAAATATTTTTGCGCCGACTCAGTCAGCCGATGAATCAGCGAGGGGGGGGGGGGGGGGGGGGGGTGGGGGGAGGGGGGGGGGGGGGGGGGGGGGGGGGGGGGGGGGGGGGGGGGGTGGGGGGGGGGGGGGGGGGCGGAGACCACAATTTTTTTTGGGGCCTAATTCGTGAGAATTTGTTTTAATTTTTTTTTGTATTGTTTTTTAAACCGTCAGCCCCCCCCCCCCCTCCCCCATGGATCCGCGCCTGCAGACGCTCCAGCCGGCGACAAAGGGGGGGGGGAGCCAAATCTTAATACAAAATTTAGTGCCGACTCAGCCGGCCGGCGAATAAGCGGGGGGGGGGCGCTTTTGTTTTTTGTTTTATAATTTTTTTGTATCGTTTTGGTGAGCAAGGGGGGGGGGCGGAAAAATCGCTATGTGGATCCGCCCCTGCAGTGCCGGTCTAATTCTCATTTGTTATAGTCTCAATTTCTTTGTCATTCTTCCATAAGCGTCGCTAAAACACTTTATAAGTGGGCAGCTAGTGCCCGTCAATTTTTTAGATTTACATTTTGTCTATAGGTTTAATGACAACGTTGTCGTTGTTGTTGCTGTTCTTCTTCTTCTTCTTCTCCCCTCTTCGCATGTTCTTTGTCTCTCTCTGTCTGTTCCCTTATCAATACTTGACTCTGGCTCCTTTTCCTCCCCACTCAATATTTTAATATCTTTTTATTCCATTTAGAGTCAATGACAACAGAAACGAAAACCAAGTCCGTGACGAGCCCTAAGGCCACATTGCCGGAACCATCAGACGCAACGACTTCGCAAGAAACTACCACCTCCAGTAAGCGAAACATTGAAACGACGTCATGTGATTAATATCACAATGGGTCTAGCCACTATAGCATTCCTTCCTTCTCTCTCTCTCTCTCTCTCTCTCTCTCTCTCTTTCTCTCTCTCTCTCTCTCTTTCTTTCTCTCTTTCCGTCTATCTCCTTCTCTCTCTCTCTCTCTCTCTCTCTCTCTCTCTCCCGCTCTCTCTCACCTCCCCCTCCTCCCTCCCCTCTTTCATTCATAAATTGGCCAAAAGTTGCGATAGTGAGGAGACTATTTGTAGGTCTTGATTATTAAAGGGACTTGGTAACATTGTTCAGATGAGAGAAAGTGGTGTTAAGGTAATGACTTAAATGCTACATGTACAATTAAAGATAATATGAAATTTGAGTGACAGCAGACCATCTGATCTGATCGAGTTGTTAATTCTCCCATTAGTATATAATTACAATTTAATTACATTTTAGGTGAATGTAAATCATCACAAAGCTATGCATTGGCTCTGTATACCATCCTAGGCATTTAAGTGTCGTAATATGTTTTAAAGCCTGCCTTTTGTCTTATTTTCATAGAAAGACGGTTGGGAAAATTCCAAAAATGGTTTGGAGAATTTTAGTGTTAGACGGTGTTGAACAGTGACGCCTTCAAAGAAAACCATAAATATCTTTGTGGTTTAAAAAAAAATAAGGATTTTTTGCATGTTAGAGGGTTAGTCCCGTAAAAGAAATATAATAAGTAGCATTTCATACAAAAATTACGCAGTTTTTTTCATCAACCTTCAACAATGTTACCTAGTCACTTTAAGGCTGTAATTTTGTCTTTGCATCCATTTTTAGTATCTTTATTTTCGTTATCATTATTATTATTATTTTTGCCATTATCATCATCATCATCTACAATAATAATAATAATGATAATAATAATAATAATAATAATTTTTCTTTAAATATTTCAGTTTCTACCCAAATAATCACTTTGTCTACTTTCTTAAAATTGAGCAATTTACATATCGTTTTTCATCTTTTCAGCATGCTCATCCCTCCGGTGGATTGTGAATACGGCGGGTCGTTCTACAATTTCAGCACTTGCGAGATGAATCATGCTTCCGCGGTTTCAGCTTGTTACCAATACGGATCCCATCTGGTCGACATCGACTCGCCAGAGGAACGGAACTTCATTGTGAGGCATGATCGGTACCACAACTCGAACTCTAATGGCTGGAATCGATACTGGATCGGGCTGACCGGCTCAAGTCTCGGTGAGGCAGGGTGGCTAGACGAATTAAGTCCTACATGTTGTCTAATTAAGGTTTGGCATTATGATAGTAGTTCCACCTACTGCTATCATGATGAGGTTTTCTCAAGACAATTAAGATTCATATGCGAGAAATAAGTGGGGATATGAAAATTGGATTTGTTTCTTTCAATTTTGCATACCACTTGGTTAAACCACTGATTGCATCTGAACCCCTAGATGGGGGCAAGTGTATACCCCCCCCCCCCCCAAAAAAAAAAAAAAAAAAAAATAGAGAGAGAGAGAGAGAGAGAGAGAGAGAGGGAGAGAGAATTTATAGATCTTTAAGAATGTTCGAGTTTGTAGTTTTTTGTAGTTCCATTCACTCATTTTTACACGAAGAGCACCGAAAAGATTGTTACAGAGGTGTTAATTTATGATGTTTAAAAGACGGAGCACTTGTCATTTTTACATTCAAGCAATTCGAAAATAATCATATTGATGATTAGAAGTAGTGGCGGTTTGTTCTCTTTGTGTTTTATAGAATCTCATTTTTAATGCCAATAGACTTTGCTCAAACTTCATAATATAATAATACACTGTCGCTCATATAGTTGGAATATTTTTGTTTTACCCCGATTTATGGAATTATTTTTTAAATAATTTAAAAATAATAGATCTAGATAATGTATACATTCTGCGTACAGTCATGGTTTAGTGAGAAAGCAATGGCCTCGTGACTGTGAGGCCCCAAGATCAAAACCGTGTCGATGTGATATATTAGTGCCCTTTTGTGGGGCATTAATCCTCATTACTGTCATTTATGACTTAAAGGCGTAGGTCCCCTAGTTGATAAGCATAGTAGCATACGCATGCTTTAGCAGTCATGCAAAACACACATTGTCCAATTATTATTCAATAAAATCTGTGAATGTATACTATTATCTAGATATATTATTTTTAAATGACTTTAAAAATAATTCCATAAATTGGGGTAAAACAAAAATATTCCAACTTTATGAGCGACAGGACAGTGTAGTTAGTGCTTCATAAAATGATGAAACGTCAAAAATATTTGATTATGACATAAAAGTGTAGTTTGGGTGGTAAAGTTTTATAGGGTATATGATACAAATATTAAAACCTGTATACATATACTTACACCTACATATACATGTAAATACATATACACATGAACATGTAAATATACATATATATATATGCATATACATAGGAATATACATATCTGCCTGTGGTCTCGTGTAACGAGCTTATACTTCAGATACGAATAGAACTAGTGAATAACGAAAACAAAAAATGTAACGTCAATGTGTCGAATACACGGCAACTTATGACATTATTTACTCGTTTTAAGTTTCAAGTTTATCTATTTATATTTCACTATCATTACGTACATCAATCGAATACAATGAATAAATGCATTCCTTCAATGAAAACTACATACAATACATAACATCATGTAATATGTAATTTAAGACAAGAAAAAAAAGAGACAAAAGTCAATATTTTATTTTTCAAACTTAAGGTAGAATAAATATGGATGTAGTGTGAAATATGAGATAATCTAAAGTAAGATGCTCAGTTTATAAAGTATTAACTATACACTGCGTCCCAGAAAAGATGAAACTCGAAAACAAATAAATATTGTGAATATCTAGAAGTATATGATAATATTCCTTGCTTTCATAGAGTAGAAGTAATATGCTTTTTAATGATACATTGATTACATTAATCTATACACGCTTCACTGAGCAACATTGTTTTTGCAATGTCATGTCAACATCCACTTGTGCCGGATTTGTGTGAAAGAGTAAAACCGTTAGTATCAAAATATCAAACGTGAACATGATCGATCATGACCGGAAAAACACACATTTTAAAAGCGAATGAGAAGATCATTTTAATGTGCTTTTTTTTAATAATGAACGCAAGACTAATACCATCTTTATCATAAAATAAGGCATTGCGGAAATATTTTCGATGGTGAGGGTAAAATGGCATATTTTCGTTACTGAATGGGTCTGCTATTGTAGAACCGCCTGAAGTTTTTAAAAGAGCAAGTTAAACAATTGAATATTCATGAAACAAGAATCAAATTGATGGGCGCCTACATTTTGATAATAATATTAATAGTATCAGTATTGTTGTTATTATTATTATTTATTGTTATTATTGTTATTACTATTATCATTATTATTATCATTATTATTATCATTACTATTGCTATGACGATAAATATTATTTTACAAGTTAATAATTATACTTATTGTAAGTAAAGCCGATGTAAATATTCAAACTTGATACGATGGGAGTTGCCATGTTACAGGATGATTCATTTTCTAAAGTAATTGAAATAGTAGCATTAGTGATTAATGTTTGCTTGACGTGCAATAATTAGTTTCAATTACTATCCTGTCGATTGTGTTTGTTTGAGTAAAAAGAGGAAAAATACACGGCACATAAGAACGTGTGGAGAGGAGATATAGAGAGAAGTTGTGATGAAAGAGATGTATAATTCAGTGAAAGAACTCAAAAGGAAGAGATAACGAGTGAGAGAATGTGAGAAGATATTGATTTAAAGTGAGAAAAATTTGTCGTGAAAGAGATGTATGATAGAGTGATATAATTTGAAAGGAAGACTCGGATACAGATTGCAAGAATATGAGAAGGTGATGAAGAGAGAGAATTTGTGAATGAAAGGGAGTTCGATCATTTAAAAGAGAGGAAGACAACATAGAGAGAGAATGTGAGAAGATAATAAGAGATTTTTTAAGACATAGAGATATGAAAAGGTAAATGGATTTGAATGGAAGAAGTAAAGAGTAACATATTGTGAGAAGATGATAAAGGGAGAGACATTTTAAATAATTTATTTTAAAATGATAATAAGCGGTATAAATGAATGAGAGAATTCGAATAGACGTGATGTACATATAGACTAAGAGAATGTGCGGATATAGAATTGAAATTAAAGAACTTTTTGTATCACGTTTTAGACAACCCAGCATCGGGAAAGGGTGATTAGTATTTTCTACTATGAACGGAAAAAACAGAGGAAACAAGCTTATACCTACGATTAGACTCACTGAACAGCGCCTCCTAGTGGCGAAGTCCCGCAACATATTGTGTTAGCATATTGACTTGTACACAAACAATCATTAATTTCATTTTTATATTTTTTTAAACGAAAATCACATCAACTTTTCATTTGAAACTCCTTATTTCTTTGTGACGTAATTATTCGTGTCCCCTCTCCTTGCACCTTGGCGCATTTATGGGGATAGGCTGCGCATATTTCGACGCATAACGATAATATTTTTGAAAGTTAAATAAAACCATTACTTGACTTATAGCCCTAAGAGCGAACATTTTTAAAACAATTTCTGCGTGTACGGAACATTATTATTCCTTATATTCTTGTGTATTTTCCTCGATCTCCGAGGAGATATCTCGACACTAATATATATATGTGCAGGGCCCTGAGAAGAGGGGTGCTGGGGGTGCTGCATCACCCACTGGAATTTTTTTTCGTATGATTTATTTAATGTATATCATTATGCTTAATAATAATAACTGATATCTTCCACAAAAAACACGATCGTTATCTTGTGATTTTTACATGTATCAAGTTAATCGAACTATGTTAATATTAGGATGAAAAAGAATTATATTTGGAGAGTTATTTGTATTGTTCTAATATTTAATACAAATACAAATTACGGAAAAGCGAAAAGGAGAATGTGTGGGTGTGTGTGCGTGTTTATACGGGAAATTTGTTATGTTTGCTGTTCCAAACACACCAAGCAAAATAGTCATCGAATCCAGAAGTCCTTTTGACATTCTTTTCAAGATGGAAATTCCTGCAAAACTCATTATTATATTTTAGTCTGCCAATGACATTGTGGGCAATTACTTTCTTAACTTGTAGCGGAAGGGAGAATCAACTTAAGATTGATATAGGAATAGTTGAGTTTTGGTATGGAAAGTACAGTTTTGGTCAAACTGAATGTGAGAAACCAAACCTGAACCATTACATTTCAAACTAATACTACTAGCTGCATCATGCTCGAAATGTTTACGCAAATTACAAACGACTTAGTAATAAGCCCGTTGACAATTAAGAGAGCCGTTAAACCACAATGTGGGCATTCTCTTAAAAGTCATTGGTTTCAACCATTTTTAATAATAGATAGTGCATGTTATGTTTTGTTAAAATAATGGTTAAATAGAAATATCATCAACAACTAATTAAACAAAATTGTTTGAAAAGTGTAAACATCTTGTTGTCTTTCAACGGCTGGTTCAAAATTAGCGAATATTTGTGGGGCCCTACAAATATTAGAAATGGTTATATTATAGTAATAATGACTGCTTTGAGAAAAATAGTTGATACGCTCAAGGGGAGGTTAACAATCGAGCTATTGCCCGAGGCTTGCCGAGGGCAATAGCTCGATTGTAACCTCCCATGGTAATCAAGTTTGTAATCAAATTTGTTTACGCTATCGAGACCTAGTCTAGGGTGTCTGATCGCGCAACACTCGAGTTTGTGTGCTAAAATCCTTCCCATTGAGATTGCACGCATATATATTCAGTCTAGATCTACGTGCATTAACAAAATTATTCCCAAATCGAGATGCAAACCTTTAATGCTTGTGATCCTGAACTTGAAGGTGATACTAAAAAAACTAAGTGTCATATGAAAGAGCAGGTTTATCTCCATATTTCCAAAGGGTCATAGAATACGTAATCAAGTTTGTTTACGCTATCGAGAGCTAGTCTGATCGCGCTCCACTCGCGTTTGTGTGTAAAATCCTTCCCATCGAGATTGCACGCATAAATATGCAGTCTAGATCTACGTGCATTAACAAAATTATTTCGAAATCGAGATGCAAACCTTTACTGCTTGTGATCCTGAACTTGAAGGTGATACTAAAAAAAATGAGGTGTCATATGAAAGAGCAGGTTTATCTCTATGTTTCCAAAGGGGCGTCATCTCGTCAGTACATGTAGATATAGGCCTACAATCGAGATCGGCGGTCGTCTGCACTGACTGTGTGCAAATGTAGCAACCAAATTAATTGCACGAAAACTGTGTGGTAGCCGCGCAGCGCATACCACAAAGAACTTAAAAACGTAAACCAATGCGCATTCCACAAAGAATTTTTTTCCCGGTAACTGGAATTTTGCCGGGATTTTACTGATTTACTCTAGAACTATTACATGGGTTTGGCATTATTTGTTTATTCACGGGAATGGCTAAAACCACGACTGCAATTTCGACCAATCAGATGGCTGGATTTCTTAAAGGGAGCGGATCGCCAGTTTCCATGTGCAGAAGGCCATAATTCGCTGACACCAGACTTGGTGGAAATACCATTAATGGGGGTACAAATTTGCACACAGCAAACCCATAGTCCAGTCAAGAATTACCCCCTATTCTCTCGAGAGCTCGAGAGTCTTCGGGCAAATCAAAGCATATGGTCCAATGGTCATAAAACTCAAGGCTAACCCTGGTGATTGACAACACCTGTTATTGGGTAAACACCCGAACGGTGTCGAATTCCCCATGAGAGCCGACTACTCAGTGACTTTAAGTGAGGTATATAATTATGGATATTTCAGCCGTTTTTGAACTGATTTCGAGCAAACAAAGAGGATGTTGTCATCTATATTGTATGCTCTTTCGAAGTTGACAATCAGTTTGTCATTACCTCACCCCCCCCCCCCCCCAAAAAAAAAATGTGCAGCGCCCTCTATACCGAAACTCAACTATCATTGGCACGAACGACATGATCTGATTGACCATAATGTTGACGTGTAAGAGGGATTATTTTAATATTCTTTAAAATTACTACTATGTAAACTGTATGCAACTACACCAATATAGTTATGTCGTTTTAAAGAGAAATCAAATCGGAAATCACCAAAAAAAATCTTTCATTTTGATTTCTTTTCTCAGCAATGTGAATTCTGACATCACGGTTATAAAAAAAAAATAAGTAGATGGCTCAGTGGTAGAGTAGTGATCTCGTAACCGGAAGGTTCCAGGTTCAAATCTAAGTCGATGCGCTAGTGCCCTTTGGTAAGGCATTAATCCTCATACCAAGTCCATCAGAGAGGACCAAAGCCATCGGATACCCATTTTATTGGTGTCAGTGCCCATTCTCAAATTCACTGTTTTGCCTGGTGATTTTCACTGCCCTTGCCGTTTTGTATATCCCCCGTTAATAATTGTACCTGGCTTTATTTTGTCAAAGGTGTACGGTTAGAGTTGCAATTTGCGTTTAGGTTTAGGTGAGGATTAGGGTTAGGATTAGAGTTAGGGTTGGGTATAGTGTTTGTTCCAGTTACAGGAAAATCCAATCTTAATATACAACTACTCTATTAAACATAAAGCAGAAAATCAGAAAAGCAGAATTTTGAAATTTGAATGAAATCGGATTAAAACAAATAAAGTTATGAATTGTTAAAAGTTGTAATCATTATGCGTATTTTCAAGCGCTTCAAGATGGCTGAATCGGTAATGTCATTGTGACATTGTGACACAAAGTGACTAAAGTTTCAATTTTCATTTGAGAGAACCGATGATAACATGATATCCGCAATATATTTTGACTACTGCCCCAAGGGAGAAGACACTTAAAAGAAAAACAGAATTAGCAAAGATTGTCCATGACTAGGTTACAATCAATTGGAGATTCGCATAGATTTAGTGAAATCCTATTTCAATCATTCATAGTGAGCGTTTTTCTTACACTCAACACCCCCCCCCCCCCCTGAGAAAAAAGATAAATTTCTGGTCACAATTGTTTCCCCTTTTTTGCCGGGGGGGGGGGGGGGGCGCTCGGTCCCCCTGAATCCGCGCCTAGTAGTCATAGCAGTAGCAGTACACTAACGAAAATTATGTAGTGCTGAAAATATGTTTTTCGTTATGATTTGGACTCGTTGTGCTAAATTTTAGCACCTACAGAACCATTTCTGACGAAAGCTGCATAAAGCCATCATGGAATATGCTGGAGTCAGAGGATATTAGTTGCGGCAGGCAGCGTAAATTTTAATTACACAACTGTTTAGCTATTTTCGCGAACATTTCCAAAGAGACCGCTTGCGAAAAGCCAAGACTGTATTTTAAACCAGCACATGCGCAAATGGTAACCGTTAGTGATAGGGTTATAAAAATGAAGTGCTAAATCACGGTGCTGGGTACAAATTTGCACCACAGTGCCAAGTATAGCCCTTGGCGTGCATGCAGCGTTTAGGAAGCGATGACGAGCAGAAAAATGAGTGCTGGAAACCCGTACTATTCGAGAAATTGCACCAGAAGTGTGATCCTGCCTGTTTTAGCACTTGCAGAAACACAGGTAGTGCTGGCGCTCCATGCGCAGGCGCACCAGCGTTCTAGGTGCTAAGGCAGATGAGTGCTTCACACAAAAGAAATTCAAAGTAATTTAAAATTCAAATGAGATAGGTCGCCACTCGGCTATAAAGGAGAGGGGATCTGAGAAGGTATTCATCTTTTTGGGGAATGTAAGGTGGAAGGAGATTGTGTACTATGTACAAAGACAGTGTATTGAATGTGTGTGCATATTCCAGGTGCTAAGGCAGTGCTTCACAAGAAATTCAAAGTAATTTAAAATTCAAATGAGATAGGTCGCCACTCGGCTATAAAAGAGCGGGGTCTGAGAAGGTATTCTTTTCATTGCCTAATAATTCTGCTTGTGCACGATGATACCATTGAGCTTTAATGTTGTATCAGTATGCATGAAACAGTTTGGGGTTTTTACCCTTGGATACAAATACATGTATTATATTTTGAAGGGATGTTGTGATTTTACAATGCTTTTTGTCAATAAAGAAGTGAGTCTTTTTAACTCATATATGTGACTACCCATTCGTTACCATGAGTGTGACATGTGGCATCTTGCCAGTGAGGGGTATGTTTTCGGTGCTTAAAGTAGGTTGAAAATAATGTTAGGGCTGTTTAACAGAAGGGTGAGTTTTCAGCACTACAGGTGTGATTTTGTG